AGAGATGTCCCACACAGATGTTGTATGTGATTTAAAATGAAGAACTACGTGGTTAGCATAGCGCATGTCGTGCCTCATACACCACTAAAGAAAAACAACAAAGGGTCAAAGACAAATTCACTGAAAAACGTCTGCATCAGTAAGTCTTTAGAATCTAAAACGCAAAACACGCTACCATACAAGGACGACACCCGTGAATACACCACCATTGTTAACCTTGTCATTTCAGTTAGGGTTTCCAACTACAAAGCCTGCGTTCAGATGTGTCTTTAGGCTAACTGTCTAATCCGCTGTGGCTTGTGTTTAGCTGATACTTCAAGCTAATTACATCTCCATCATTTCCAGAAACAAAATTAAATCAAGCAAGATAATTAACGGACTGAGAGCTTTCTACCCTTGCTGTTGTTACATCAGAGCTTAAGTGTTGCTTTTTTGAGATCTTATTTAACAACTCTGACAGCAGAAACAGCTTTGTTAAAGATTGAGGATAAGCTCTTGTTGCCTAGAGAGCAAAAAGTGTTGCTTATTGTGGTTTCAGCTGAGCTTTTTGAGTAGTTGGAGGCATGCTCCGATCCCAAAAAGCACAGCCTTGCCAACCCTGGTGGTAACAGGGGATCTAATTAGCAAATTAGCAAACTTTATTGTTCATGTAGTGCTTTTTTTCCATATGCTTTTGGAAAGGAAAGTCAGCTTGTACCTAGGCATGTTAGTGTTTGGATGTTAAGTAGGGTTTATATTTCCTGAGACACACAGAAGTTAAAGGTTCATTTGGAAATATATACTGAGAGCTTCTGCACTCCACATAAATGAGAGAGTGACAGAGCAATATATTTCATCCCTACTGGCCGCCACCGCAGCTTTGACCTTTGCACTTCTTATATTGGCTGCTTGTGATGGTGGCTTCTCGCATTAATAGCGCTGGTCCAAGGTGGCTGACAAGGAGGATCGTGGCTGGGTTCTGTTGTTCGATTTTCGAGTCGCTGTCACAATTAACTGTGAAAACAGAAAACGAGAGAAGAAAGAGTGAAGCGGGACGAGGGATCAATAAATGTCACAGCTACATGAGATACACATGAATGCACCTCTGCCTTAGGGTTGGTTGGTTGGTTTATTTCTTTGTATTAACTTTCTGATATCTTTTGCATTAGACATGCAAATGGGGTGGATCTGTGGTGACTTTGGTGAGTGGTATTTAATAGGCTGCACAGCAGTCCCTGAAAGGATTGAAATTCCCTGACTCTGATGATCCTCTCTTACTGCCACAAGACTGACATTTGTGATTTCATTTTAAAGATCTTAAAAAAACACCTTGGATCGATTGGCTCAAAATTTGGTACACGGGTCAAATTCTTGTCTTTTCAGTAAGCACGACTATAACACCTTGATAGAGAGGATAGTGTTGTCCTCCCTGGACTTCCTGAGTTGCTGGAGTCTTCCTCTGTGCACTTTGCATGTTCTCACTGTGCATACATGGGTTATTTTCAGGTACTCGGCTTCCTGCCACGGTCCAAAGACATGTTTACATCTATTAACCCAGCACGCATGAGTGTGAATGGTGGCTGTCTTCCTGTTCGCCCTGCGACAGACTGGCGAACTGTTCAGTGTGTTTTTTCACTGTAATACAGCTGAAATAGGGTTCAGCCTATAAGTAGTTAGGATAATGGATGGACAGTGGTAGCATTGTACAAACCATTATGCAAATACTTTGGCTTGTGACCACATACCACAGCTAATGACTGTTCCTTAACTGAGCTCAGCTGTACTTTGTAGAAGTATACCAGCATAATTAAGTGCTCAGGCAAAAACAAACATGGTATGTCATAATGTGCATGTTATTTCTGTGACTTTAGATCCAGGTCTTTAAACAACTTCTAAATACCTTTTTTGTTTAAGTTCCATAGAGCGTTGTTATTGGTCATTATTATAAACTCTTAGTTTTCTTAGACACAACAGGAAAAAAATATCTCACGGCCACTTCTCAACACATTTCTTTTGTCCATATTTGTGCAATGTGTTCATGGTGCATGTATGGTGATGCACTATGTTGGACTGGTGCAGTTCATTGTAAACGTTAAATTATATCACAGGTAGCAGATATCAGTTTATATTAAAAGCAATAACAGTGATTAGAGTCACTGAATTCTACCTTTTTATAGAAGCATTGTGGTGCCAGGGGGTTGGAAATCAGCCAAATAACCTCTGCTTCTATCTTGTTGAATTCAATTGGCTAAACCCACAAAGAGCAGTGACTCTCACAACAACAATTGCAAAGGTCAGCTGATTACAGCCTCTACTCAATGCAGGGTTGACATTACTCATAATAAAATTAATGTCATGTGTAAATACAGTTCCTTTATATATCCGTATGTCGTTTTAAAATCACAAACACAGCTAACAATATTAGCTCGGTGGCGAGTAGCCTTCAGTATCTTTGATATCCTATTGCTGTGTGATTTATTACTACTACTGAAGTGGCACATAACCCAGGTAGCTACCGCAACTAAAACAAGGTAGTTGCAGTGGGCTAGCGTTAGTTTTTTAGAAAGAGCTTACCTCCTGATGTTTCTTTAGGTTGGAGTCTTTTGAAGCTGAGAGCAGCTTGGTTGCTGGCAAACAGAGTTTGCATCACACGGTCAGATTTCGCCCATTCCTTTCTTCTTTAAATGTGAAGTGTTGTCTGAATTTCCAAGTAAGAAATGCATTCCTGCCCGCACACTGCTGGCTCTGTTGTGCTGGCTTTGGGTCCATAGTGTACCTGACACCACCAACATTAACAGGACACTTACATTAGAGCTCCTTATTACGTGTTTTGTTTGGGTTTACGGCAATGCTAGGAATTATCAAAATTAGAGAGGGGATAGGAAGGGGATAGCCTAACATATGAAACAGGAAACACCGCTTTGTAATCCATTTATTTCAACAAAGTAACTGTATTCTAATTATCACCTTTTTAAATGGTAACTGTACAGTTAGTCATATTTTGTATTTTAAATACGTAACAGGAGATATTCTGTTACTCCCCAACACTGGTGAAGAAATTTTTTTTTTATCCTTCCTGTTTCTTTTTTCAAATGTCAGATGGCTGGTAGAAGACGATCTGTGAAATACGAAGCAGAGACAAAAGAAAGCATCAAGTCCAAGGGTAATGAAGTAACAGTAAAAGCAGCACTCTGACAAAGCCAAATGAAGCGTTCATGGCTCATGGCTCAGGCTGTTTATCGTACTGAAGAAGAATGGATGGCTGTAAATGGCTTCTGAAATGGTCAATATTACCTGTACATATAAAGAAGCAGCCCCTTTGAATATTACTGTTCCACTGAATAGCAATTATCAGGTGGAATTACTTCCATGGAGAGGCTAGTTACCGCCCTTTAGTTACTATCATAGCCATTATCCACTCTAATGACCAATCAAAAGAAAGTAAACCATATTATGATGGAGGACTCTAATGCTCGTACGTATAAAGTCTGAAGACCTTCACCCTGGTGACCTGGAAAATTGATCCATATGGAACATATGTTAAACTAAAGAGCACATGAAAATGAACTAAAGTCAAGCATGGAAATGGAAGTCACTTCAATAAACAGGTGGTGAGAGATATTCTGCTACCACACGTCTCACAGTACATCATAAATTATGACTTGATCCCTTAATGAATTTTGCTCACTTCCAAAAGAACAAACAGTCTCTGATTTTATATAAGCTTCATTTTAATGGAGAGAGACATAATATCAACAAAAAAATCAGGTCAAGCATGCTACATAAAAGTTATAAACTGTTTTTTGTGCATTAAAGTGAGTTAAAGAGCTTCGAAAGAAAAGTGCTCGATTGGACAGAGATCTACTGAGTGCGGAGGCTGTTTGAGTACAGTGAACTTACTGTAATGTCCAGGAAACCAGTTTGAGATTATTTGAGCTTTGTGAAATTGTGTGTTGTCTAAGGAGCTTGGAAAGAAAAGCGTCTGGACTTCTTTAAGTTGCTTGAAGACGTTTCACCTCTCATCCGATAAGCTTCTTCAGTTCTAGCATCAAATGGTGGAGAGTCCCAGATTTAAGCTCTGTGGGAGTAACCCGTCAAGAGGGAAAACGGGTAAATAGTAAATGGCCTGTATTTGTATAGCGCTTTTACTAGTCCCTAAGGACGCCAAAGCGCTTTACACAACCAGTCATCCACCCATTCACACACTGGTGATGGTAAGCTACATTGTAGCCACAGCCGCCCTGGGGCGCACTGACAGAGGCAAGGCTGCCGGACACTGGCACCACTGGACCCTCTAACCACCACCAGTACGCAACGAGTAAAGTGTCTTGCCCAAAGACACAACGACTGAGACTGTCCAAGCTGGGGGTCGAACCGGCAACCTTCCGATTACAAGGCGAACTCCCAACTCTTGAGCCACAATCGCCGATCGCCATTGTAAACCACCGCCTCTGTTCAAAGATGGTCGCTCACAATGCACATAGATGGCTTCTTTCACTCCTCTTTCAAACCATCTGTCCTCTCTGTCCAAAATGTGAACATTGACATCCTTGAAGGAGTGACCTTTGTCCTTTAGATGCAAATGGACAGCCGAGTCTTGTCCCGTTGAGGCGGCTCTTCTATGTAGAGACTATGATGATCTTAGACTACGATGACCTGGATGACTGAGAACCTTCACAGACATTAGAGTGGTTTAAGGATCCAGTCCCCAAGTAAGATGTTTTGTATCAAACTATCAATCACACCATACAGACATGTCAACTTGGCCTACAAGACTACCTGTAACGAGCTACGAATCCCTTTTTCAATAATCACAATTGTTTTGCTATATTTATTTGTATATATGAAAAAAAATTTTTTCCAGCAAGACGCTGTGACAACTCTTGCCTGAATGCCATCCGGGATTATTAAATGAATGAAAATTGTTTTTAAAAAATCATGCAGAGCCTGATTTTTTAACTCACTCGGCACCAAATAGATTCTAAAATTCTAAATTTATCCACCATTTGTTTCTCTTCCAGACTGAAAAGCACAAGTCAGATGTTAGACACTTCAGTGTTTCCAAAGCACACATGAAAGCACGCTGAGGCTGTTCACCCATGGGAGACCGTTACATGCGAAGATCAAAACAGCATTTGGCACGGGTGAGTACATCACCGACACACACATATGAACACAAAATGCGACCGGATTCAGTTCAGTTATTCATAAGTATGGAATGCAGACTTAGAGTCTCAATCAGTCATATTAGTGCGTCAGATTGTGCGCCGACTGGCTGGTCAGTCATTATGCTGTGATATAAACAGGAAGTATACGAGATTTCACAGCTTTGTTTGTGTGTGTGTGTTTTTCAGAAATGGCATTATGCCATATTTTTTGTTATTTTTATAGTGTTTGCTTGTAGATGTGGGCCGTAGCGGTGTGAGAACTCAGTCTTAAACAACCTGACACAATCTGAATTTTGCCACAGGCTATGTATCGTTTGGATGCGTCTCACAGTGGGATCTAGGACCACCGTTTTGCCACATTTGTCAAGGGACTGTCAACTTGCATCTGAAGCAGCCCAAAATCTCTAGAGTGTAAAGAACTTACACATGCACAAACACATACAGACTCACAATCCAGTATCATACAGTCAAAGCTGTGCAGAGCTCAGAGATGCTGTAGGCGTGTTTAGTGTTGGGTTCAGACAAAGAACATCAACATTCAGTGTTATGTGGCACCATCTGTCCCTGAACAGCAAAACTCCCACGTGAGGGCATCTACACACACTTACAAAGAAGCACACACAAACATAGATGGATATACAATAAGTAAATACTCTCATGTCCCCCTCACATGTTCTCATATTTTGCTAATTATCTCCCTTACGGATGCCTGATTTCCCCTCGCTTCCTCCGTCTTTTTCACCTCTGTCTCCTCTCGTCTCCCGCTGCATCTGATAGAGTCTATTTAAGGGGACTGCACACACACACAAACGCACACACACAAACGCACACACACAAATCGCCCTCTCCCTGTTGCTCTCAGGCTGTCTTTCACTTTGGGAAAGTTGCAGCTTTCATCCAACTTTGACGACTTCACATTAATTAGCTCAGTGGTTTGTTCTTCTGCTGGAGTGTGTGCTAGTTAGCAAAGTGGTGTCTGCTGATATTTGATAAGTGGGTGTGCACTACACTTTCTCTGTGACATTTCGGTGTCTGTCATTCGGAAAAAGCACACCCACATTTTGATGCCACGGCATGAGAGACCCTTATTGGCATAATCCCCTAGTTACCAAGGGCCTGGTTTAAGATAAGGAGTAGTAGAATGGCTTTGTAATCAGTGCAAAGTTTCTTTAATGAAACAATGAACTAAAGGAATTTAATTACTTACGCTTCCCTGGTCATGAGGAGACCAGTTGTTTGGTTTTGGGAGGCATGTTGGCTCCACTCTTCTCTAATTGTTTTCTAACTGGTCAACAGTCCTGGGTCTTTCTAACATTTTTCTTTCATGAGGGAACAAATGCTGTTGTATTAGATCCAGTGTAGTATTGCCTTCTGGATATTGAAGGCCTTCCCGGAAGTAGATTTCTGGATAGGAGCAGATGTTTGAAAATCTGTGTATAGCTTTCAGGACTGATGCAGCCTTTCCAGATGTGCAAGATGCCAGTTCCATAGGCACTAATGCGACCTCCTACCATCAGGTATCTTGGCTTTTTGAAAAAAGTGTTAGTAACAAGCCGGATGATCCCTTTCCACTTTAGTAACTTTTAAAGTGAGCAATAGTTCTCCAAGTTTTTTGAAGGTTGTTGAAAGTTTTTTTGGTTCATTTTCACTCATTTTCAGTCCAGTCCTTGTACTTAACCATCTTGGGAATAATGTGTCTACATAGAACAAAAACTTAGAAAAGAACAATTTTTCAATTGTATCTTTAAACACTTTGTTACTAGCAGCCTGTTGCATAAGCACACGTTCCCATTTCTTTAAATGTTTTTTAAAAGGGGGGAAATATTCCTGTACAGACCTGACATAGGGATCGAGGGCCAGTTCTTTCAGGTGATCCATCACCAAAGGTCTGATGGAGTGAAAGGTTTGATTCAAATCATCATCAATACTGTAGAGAAGGTCAGGAGGGCAACGGTGAGTGTCCACAGCCATCTGTAAAATACGGTGCAGGCACTGTCATGGTTTGAGGCTCAGGTTCAGTCAGTTGTGTCGGAGGTCGTGTTAAAATTAATGGAATTATGAAAACAGTACAGTCAGATTTTGATTCACAATGCAATAACATCCTAAAAAAATTTAATAATTTCATTTTTACGGCATGACAATGATCCCAAGCATACTGTCAGTGTAGTAAAGACATGGCCAGATAATCACACAGTGAAACACTATCAGTCATGGATCGGCCTCCTCAGATCTCGAACCTCAACATTATTGAAGCAGTGTGGGATCATCTAAATGCAGCCAACATCCAAAGAAGAGCTTTGAATGTCCTTTAAGAAGCCTGGAGAACTATTCCTACTTAAAGAAATGACAAGAAAGCTGCCTGAGAGAGTTCAGACTGTGTTGAAGGATAAAGGTGGTCATACCAAATATTGACTTTCAAGCTCCTTGTATTGTAAAAGCTCTGTTTCTCCCTTATATAATGTATTAAGATGTATATTTGCACTTTTCAAAAAATCAGTACACTTTAATATTAAACCCTGGTCACGTTATGTTGTGGCTGCACAGTCAGCTAATGCTTGTTTTGCTCTTGTTAGCATGAATCCACGACACATATTGCTGTTACATTTCACGAAATGTTTGTTTTAAGAGTCTTAGGATTCTACTGACTGTTATTAATATTATTATTGTTATTATGTCTATTATTGCAGGACCTTTACCTTATAATACAAAGTGCTTTGAGGTGACTGTTGTTGTGATTTGGCGCCATATGACTGAAAATGAAAACTGAATTGAATTTCCGTGCAAAGAAAAACTGGCTTTATGAGTGTCACTTCAATAACTTTCAGTAATATTGCATGTATGTTTGTAGCTTTGAAGGGTTAATGAGACTACATATTACCACCACTTTTCAGTTTTATTAGTTTGCCTTAATTATGCATCAAGTGCAAGTACCACAGATCCATAAAGCCACTGCAGACTAAACAAGCTTTGCATTTCTTGGTAAACTGTGTTGAATATGCCTGACTCTCATTCTCCTGACTTAAGGACTTCTGGTTTTCCTGTAATATTTAAATTTGGGGGTTTAAAAAAAGATGCTCCAATTCCAACCAAAAAGCACTTCCTACCTTAGAGAGACCAGCCTCCTCAAAAAACTTACCTTCTTCTGACACGTAAAATTGTTTTTTACAGAGACAGAAGTCAGAGATGCATACCCTGACATTTTAGAGTATTTTTAGTTGGTGTTTGAACAAGTCAGAGAGTCTGAGTGTCTGTTTTCCTTCCTCACTACCTCTCATGCTGCAGCTCTCATGTGATGATGAGACATTGTGTCATGTGCCCATCTGTCAGTGATGACTATGCCCTGATATCAGTACAAAATACACATATATACTAAACACATGCATGTTCTCTGTTGAGGAGGAGGAGAAAAAGGCCGTGTCTCTCAAGTTAATTAGTCTCTCTGGCACTGCGCTCCCCTCTTCCCTTCTCCAAAAGAGCACCAAGGTCAGATTACTTCTCATGATGGATCTCCGCATGTGTTCATGTCCCACTTTCTCCCGTTTTTCTCCGTTACACACATAAAGACGCACGTGCTTTCACAATGTCTTTGATCCTAAAGCCAGAATCGATTTGTTTTGTTGATGCAGTAGAGCTACCGAGTGTAATGACCTCTTCACTGTAGCTGCAGGGACAACATGTGTGTGTATGTGTGTGGCTGCAGGGATCAGCCATAATGAAGTGTGAATCCATCTGATAAAAAAAGTGTGTGAGTCGGTGAACTTCCCCAAAGGACTTATACACTGCTTTTACACAGATTACCTCTGCAAGAGTGCGCCTCTGTCTAGTTAAGCTACTTTCACTTCATTTAATCTTAATTTCCTTTTAGTTTGACGTGCAGCTTTTTGATTGTTACAAATTAAACGTGAGTTAAGGCCTCTACACACCAAACGTATAAAATTTGTGGAAATATTTCGTGCGTCAAAAATATTTTTGAATTTGCCTATTCCTAACGCTACAGAGGAGAATTAGGGCCACATTAAGAAAAAAACATATATTATTGTTCATTTTGAAATTTTGAAATTACACTAGACTCACTATTTAGAGAGTAAAAAAGTAGAAATACTGTTTTGAAAAGAAAAAAGTCAAAATGTGGAGATTTAAGTTGTCCTTTCAAGCCAAATTCCTTCCATGGCTGCTGTGCTCTGCAAAATGCCTTCACCACAGAACACCAGACGTGGCAGGCCCGCCATCAGAGCTCAGCTCTCTTCACAGATGAGAGCAGGTTCACGCTGAGCACTTGTGACAGACATGAAAGAGTCTGGAGAAACCGTGGCGATTGTTAAGCCACCTGCAACATCATCCAGCATGACGGGTTTGGCAGTGGGTCAGTGATGGTGTGGGGAGGCATGTCCTCCTTTGTGTTGGTGAATGCCACACGGTGCTGGGTATGTGAGCAGAGGTCCCACTAATGGACGTCAGGACCGCATGGAGTCTGTGCCCGACGAGTAACCCGCTGGTGCTCGTTTTGCACGTCTCTCGGGGCGCGCCTCCTATTCCTCCTCACACACAGCAGCAGATCCTGAGCCTTAGGATGGTGTCTCCTCCACACTCTTGACACAGGATGCTACTTTGCAACCTGAATATGCCGCAGGTTATCTTTCCTAAGCGGGCAGATTGACATCTCAGAAGTTTAACTGACTTTGTGTTTTAATGCTTTTTTACAAAATCCTTTAGTTGTTTTTCTACATTAAATTAATCACATTCTCAGGCTTCAAACAGCAACATGTAGTGATGAAAAGAACCCATAAAGTGTGAGCGGTGTGTGTTCGAGGAGATGTGTGGCAGACGCTGAAGGAGCAGGTGCAGAGTGGACCGGCGGGTTCACAAAGGCGAGGAGCTGATTGGCAGGACTTTGCAGAAAGCTGACTGGCTGGCACACGCGGGAATCTGGAGTGCAGAGAGTTTGGAAACTACAGAGAAAAAAGTAGTTGTTATTA